CCAAAGTCTTCCCCTTGCTTGGTTGATCACAAACTCTTGCCTAAGGAAAAGGAAAATTTTTTTGTGGTGCTTTACGTACCTTTCGATTGGCATTCTGAAAGACCCTTCGATTGTTGTTCTGAAGGAGCCTTTCGATTGGCATTCTGTCAAGCTCTTCGATTGCCATTGTGGACAAGTACTTAGATTGGCATTCTGAAAGACCTTTCGATTGTCATTCTGTAAGACCCTTCAATTGGCATTCTGAAGGAGCACTTCGATTGGCATTCTGAAAGACCTTTCGATTGTCATTCTGAAAGACCCTTCGATTGGCATTCTGAAGGAACATTTCGATTGGCATTATGGATAAGCACTTCGACTGGCATGCCAAGGGAACCTTCAATCCAGCATTGTGTCCAGGCAGCTTTGACAGGCATGTGAACCTTGTCCTTCGATTAGTATGAACAACACCTTTCGATTGGCTTGTTAACAAAGCCATCAAGAGGGCACTCAAACATGTCCAGGTACACTGAACATGAGAAAATGGCATGTTTCCCTTGCAAATATGGAAATAATTAAATGTTGTTTGCGGATTTAATTCCTGAGTTAAAGGCCAGATTCTTGCCTTTTCTGTTCCTGAAGAGCTGATTCGACCAGAGTGACTCTTTTCAAATCAAGCAGTCGAAGCAGAGGAAGTCCATTCGAAGGAGGCAACTTAGGACCAATCGAAGTACAAGGCCTGAAGGCATTCGAAAGTCAGAAGCGTCCAGGTTCATTCAAGGGACACGAATGATTCAAAAAAGGAAATTATTTAATGTGTCTGATTCTTGTCTCATGGCTTTAATGGCCTGTTTAATGGCTGTCTCTTGCCATTACTGCACCCTCACACCCCTATAAATACAGAGGCCAGCATACATATCCAGAACACACGAAAATATACAGAAAAAAATAGAGAAAAGAAGCAAGGAGTGCTTGGAGATACGCTGCCAAAAGTCATCAGCACTTCCGGGAAGCCATACCCAATCCTTGCACCAGCCAGAGCTGCCACCCAGCGAACACCTCCACCCTCGGAACTACAGATCGAAGCACCTCTGTTTGGTAAAAAAGGATCTAATCTCAAAACTCATTTTTAAATTCATTTTGATTGCATATTCATATTATTACTGCTGTTTGTGAATGATTTAATGTGCTACATATAAGCTACAACGCAGAGATGAGATTGTGCCATTGCTTGGGCACAATCTGAGTTTCTCCTTTGAATCCCAGGATAAAACAAACCCAGACCCAGATTCAGCAGGTGCGAATAAGAGAGAGATTCGAACCAGGGGGTAAAATCCCCCCCTGGACCTTTAACACGTGTTTCATTTCTTGCAGGAAATACATTCTCAGATTCCTGTTCAGAGTTTCGAAGCTCAACAGTCTAACTTCGAACTGGACCCAGTATTTCCAGATCGAAGGATGGCATGTCCAGATTGAATACCCTCTGAGTGCAGCCCCCCATGCACCTTCGATCAAGACTCTTCACTGGGTCGAAGGACAGCCTGCACCTCTTTCGACCCAGACCTCCATAATTATATTTTTTCTTGTTTTGCTGCCTGGCCCATTTGTACTTTGTTTACTTTGTTTTTGTTTATTTCTTTTAGTTTTTTTTCTAATCAACATAAAAATCATAAAAATAAATAACTTAGAATTAGGATTTAATTTAGCTAATTATTTTAACTTATTTTCTTCAATTTTAAAATCAGTAGACTTAGGATTTATTTGAATTCAATCCTTTTCATAAACAAAAAAATGCAAAAAAATATTAGGAATGTTTTAGAATTAATTTTAATCAGTTTTTTTTAATTAATTCAAATTTGACTTAATTGAACATTTAGCATTTTCCCAAAAAATAAAATAAAACAACAAAAGTTCGTATTCTTAGGATTTTTTTAGATTCACGCACGTTCATTTTATTGTAACTGCTTACTGGGATGTAATAGCTTAAACTAAGACCTTTTTCTTTACTGCTTTTATTTCCCTAATTTTTGGACATGTAAATAATCCCCCTCTCCGAAGCTTTGTAATAACGTAGGATTTACAATTCCCGCACTTTAAATTCCTGTACATATACTGTTTAGATGTATGCTAACTAGGATTGCATGCCAAGATTAGCTCTTAAATTAAAATCAACTGTAGCTTACCATGACATGTAAAGATAATACAACTGAAAATTGACACACTTGCACATGCCACTCCTAGGGTACACCTCACTTGGTTGCCTCGAGCGTAGTCATTAAGTATAGGATGTTTTAGAGGTCGTCCTTTCGTCCCAAGATCATAAGTTGCCTCGAAATGGTTGCCTCGATAAAAAATGATCTAAGACATTAGGATTACCACTAAAGCGTCCTAACGTTGCTTTAGTGACCACACGTCCCTAAAATCGAATTGACCTGAAAAAACTCCAACGACGGTGCTACCTACTCCTCAATAGTGGGATAGCACTGTCTAAAGGACAGTTGCACAATTAAAATTCCTTTTTTTGAGTAGGTAGAGGTTCTTAAGTACTTGCTCCTTTTAAAAACAAAACAAACTTTTCACACTTACACTTTCTTCAAAACAACAAACTGTTTTCAAAACCCACAATCACAAAGAAAAGCAAACTTTTGAAAACATAGTGAGCAAGTACCTAAGAGCCCATGGATAACCACGGATAGAAAGGGTGCTAACACCTTCCCTTTCTATAATCTACCTCCCGAACCCGAGAAACAATCTCGAAAAGGAATTTTTTATGTGATTTTGTCCTTTCCTTGTTGGATAAAATAAAAGACGGTGGCGACTCTTGCTTACCGCGACACTTTGCGAAAACAAACGCAAACGCGAACCAGCATTAAGAAACAGTCAGTTCTTGTTCCCACCGATCACAGAACTGGCGACTCTGCTGGGGAGAAATTATAAGTGAGGTGTACCTTAGGATTAGATCACTTGTGTTTTCAATTGTATGCTTTGTATGATTTAAATTTTGTGGGTTTGTATCGGAGTTCTATAGATCCTAACCCGGATCTGGGGATACCCTTTAGGTAAGTAGCAACAAACTGTAAGGGAACTGTGCGGGGTATACCGACATGGTTGAAACAGTGGCTACGTTGATGTGGCACTTTGGTGAGTACCGGTAACCCTTGAGTTAAGTCAGGGAGAGTACAGAGCCGCCGCATGGTGTCGTGAAGCATCAATTGACCTTAGAACCTTACTTGACCATCTTGGCCTTTTTATGGGTAGTGAGATGACCGACTTTGGTGCAGTCCGAAGTTGGTAGATACTCGATACTACACTCATTGAGGGTTGTTTTCTTGGAATATTTTGGTCGCCAGTTAAGTGGCTAAACCAAAACAATGAACATAGAAAACAATCCAATGATATTGAGCTCCTTAGAACCCGGTTACTATTTTAGGACAGGTTGAGCCAACTAAACTTCAAGAGGGTACTTACCTACGAACCCCATGCAAGCCTAAACCTAAGGACTTGTTTGCTTTGTGTGAATATGACTGTCTGTATATACACTTGCTTACTTTTTGTATACATGACATCATAAAGCATCATATGCATCTGCTAACCATTTCAAGGGTTTAGATCTTTGTCTTTGTTCCTGTTTTGCAGGACATGGAGTCTCTCCGCAGGAAAACAATTCAAGTTAACCTTGTAAGGATCCCTCCTCAACTCAAGGAGCTCACATCCAGGATCCCCGAGAGTTCTCTCTTCAGTGAAAGACATGGTAGACTCCTCAGCTTGGTCAACACCAACATTGAAGAAGACATGATGAAAGTTCTCTTCCAGTTCTTTGACCCCCTACACCACTGTTTCACATTCCCTGATTATCAATTGGTGCCTACTTTGGAGGAATTTTCTCAACTCCTGAGAATTCCTATTCTTAGTCAACTACCCTACAACGGTACGAAAAAGGAACCAAAACTTGAAGATGTTGCTCAAGCGTTACATTTGCAACCATCTGACATCAAGGGGCATTGGGAAACCAGAAGTGGTATTAAGGGATTCTTGGCAAAGTTTCTGTTTGAGAAGTGTAGCGGTGAAAATCGGAGATCAAGTTATTAATTAACTTGACTCACAAAAAGCAAGAGTCACCACCGCGCTTTATTATTTCCAAGGGAAAAGGGAAAAGAGCGAAATAAAACCCTAAAATATGCAATGTAAAGTAATATTTAGAAGTAATGAAAATACAATGCGTTTTTTAAAAGAGATCGAGAGTTCGGGGGTTGGTTATACAATGGGAAGGTATTAGCACCCAATGCATCTGCGGTACTCCGCAGGAACCTTTTGAAATATCTGTTTTTGGTTAAAATTGTTTGTTTGATTAAAATGGTTCGTTTGGCTAAAAATCGGTGTTGGAGAGATTTTGAAGATACGACGACCTAGTGTTGAAGTTTTGACTTAAAAGGTGTGAGTTTGAAAATGGAGTCTTTTGGGAAAATTATCTTGAGTTTAGCAAAATAGTAAACAAACAAAAAAATGAAAAAAAGGGTATTCGCACGATCGGATGAGATGTATTTGATGACGTGAAGTCAACAAATTTAAATATTTCCCTTGGAGTTAAAACCACAGACGGATAAATAAGCTAAGAGTATATCAAACCTTAGGTGAAAATAAATCACAAGCCGACAGCATCATCAAAAAAACCTAATGTGAGATAATACTCCAAGCATCAGATAAAGCGCAAAGGCGGTGGATAAAGCTCACGGTGTCAGATAAGAATCCCTGCATCACAAGAGATATACCGACCAATCTAACAGCACGGGGAAACTTATGTGCGTCCACACAATTTTCAGAAGTTAGTTGGAATTAAAAATAAAATCACAATGCAATGAAAATAATATTTTAAAAAAAAACCTGGATTTATTTACAAGTGAATTGAATAAAACATAACATATAAAATATTATGTATAAATATATATATTTACAGTACCAAATATTAAATAAAAATAATGAAATACAGTAAAGAGGTAACAGGAGAAAGAAAAAGTGAAAATACGCTATGCGAGTATGAATACTTGAAATGAATTCTCGGAAACCTTCACAGTAACAAACGTGTTAGTAGCATAAGCGGTAAAAATAAAAATAAAGGAAATTGTAACAATTAAAATCTATGTTAGTAAGTATATTTCTAAATAATGTAAACACCAGCTGTACCAATTTCCAATCATCTTCTGTGAATTTATTAAGTTCCAAATTCTCAAGTGGCTTTTCTAAAATGGACACTATCATTGTAGCAACATCACTGTTAGTCACAGCAGACTTCAGATCCCACAAATACTCCAACTGCTGAGGTATATCAGTAGAACCAGGCTCAATCGGCATTGTAAGGAACACCAAAACCTTCACTGCATTCAGAAGCATGCTACGATCTTCGTGGTAATGCTCGATGATCGGTACCAAATCCTTAGAAACGACGTTCCATTTGCACACTTGCTTGAAGACATTTCGTGTTTCCGGATCATCACGTCTCAAAAACCTCAGCAAGTCTTTCAGGTTATCGAGACAGTATTCGCCTTTTGAGTAACCGGTTCGGTGTCTGTCGTCGTCTTCTTCAATGGATCCAAGGCCGCTGCAGATTTTGGATAAGCCTTCTGTGTCCATGGTGTTAGGATACGGTGGATTGTTCGCGAGGGTTTTGAGAGAAGAAGGAGATTTGGGGATTTTGTGATGGTGTTACGGTGAGAGAGGGTTTGGATGGTGACGGTTGAATCGAGGGTGATGGCGTAGGTGTTGTGGGTGTCGTGAGGGAGGTAGTGGTCGACGATGGTGATGGCGAGAGGGGTTGGAATTGGTGTGGGATCGGAGATGATGCTACGGGGACGTGTTGGGCCTGGGGGACCGGAGATAGGATGATTGCGCGTTGGGAGTGTGGGTCCGGTGGGATCGCCGGAGCGCGGATGGGGCGGTAAGTTGGTGGTGGGGATATTTCTGAGAAGGCGGGTGATACTGGCGGTGGTGGGAATGTTGTTTTTGTTGAGGAAGATAGTGTGAAGGTGAGGGAGTAGAAGAAGAGAAATAGTATTAAACGAAGCATGGTTTAGATTTTAGAGAGGAAAATGTAAAACATGTTGTGGAAACTGGTAAGAAAAAGAACAAGAGTGAGCTTGTGTGTGAATGAAAAAACAAGAGAGTGAGGTTGTGTGTGAATGAAATAGAAAGTGAGGTTGAAGTGGTGACAGTGTGCTAAGTGATAGTAGTGGTAATGGCTAGAGGTAGAAAGTAGTGCGGAGCAGCTGGTTCAAGTAGTACTCACGTCAAAGTGGGGAACGGTGGAAATTTGTTTTGTAGTGGAGGGAGAAAGTGAAACATAATTGCTTACTGTAAGTGCTTTTGGTTGTTGTTTTTGTTTTTTTTCCTCTCATTTACAAAGAAATAATGCTACTTAAATAGAAAAATAAAGTGGAGATGGGTTTTGATTGCAATCATAGCCATTCAAAATAAATTCAATTTACTGATCCGTTATTTTTGCTAACAACCAATAAGAATCAAGCACAGTGTAAATAATATATTTTTGTGACCAAATAGCCCTTAAATGATAAAAATGAAATAAAAATTGAAAGTATTAAAATTAATTCAATTTAAAATATATTTTTTTGAATAAAAAATAAAGAGCTAAAATGACCGAAAACAAAAAAAAACGGACGCAAATTTATCCGAAAAAAATAAAATGAACACATTAAAATAAACTACATGTCACAAAGATTAAAGAAAATAAAAGTAAAAATAGGAATAAAATGATAATGAAAATACCAGGCTAAACAGACGTTTTACGGTTAAAAACGAGACTTCAAACTGTATCGAAAAAATAAAGCGAGCATACCGTCATAATCTATGTGAAACGCAGATTCATAAAATGATCGGTAAAAGGTGAAAACTTGAAGTATTTTCTCGCTAATTTTCTGCACAGTGTCGAATCTCTTTTAACAGTCTGTCTATAAAACCGAAATATTTTTATTATCGATATATAAACAACTTGGAGCAATGCAAGAAAATAGTAAACAGATAAAAATGAATGAAGTGAAATGTCGGGTATTTTACAACTGAAAGACGATGCAAACTTTAATTTAAACTGACTTTTTCTGGTCAACTTAAATACGACTAATGATGCAAAATGTGATGAATGAAGATATTTACTAATGCTTGTGACCAAATGACAAAAATATGATATGAAAGTGCGACTAAAACATATTAGGGGCGAAATTAAGGGTGCAACGGTGTGCCTTGATGAATCAGTCTTCGAGAATCCATAATCAACCGTACTTTTGGCTTGGGAGACTCAAAACCTTAATTGAGGCGCGACACCTGATGCTCTTGATTCAGACCTGTCTCTGCACATGAAACAAAAGAAAACATGAACATACACCTTTGTATGCGATTAGAAATTAGTGATACATAGGCTCAAAATGTTCAAAACACTTGACAATCTTCGCATAGTCAAAGCTCGAAGGTGAGACATTAAAACCGACCGTATTTCGTGACCTTGACTTATCTTTAAAAATGCAAAAAAATAAAAATGGGATCTTAGGTCAAAAATTGGGGTACAACAGCTGCCCCTATTTAAGTTTCTTCTATCTGGAGATATGAAGATTGGGATCTTCATTTCGACGAGATTGAAGGGACTTAAATATAGAATACACAATTTTTGGCCTTAAGATACCGCGATTATGTTCATGATATGATATGAATGTAATGCTCTGAATTTTATGGGGAATGACGCCATATGAGACAGACTATGCTGGAGAAACCAAGCACATTATACAGTAATCCCACAGAGGAAGAGGTTGTAACTCCACTGGGGAAACAAAGTCATAGACTTCAAATGAGAGACTCTTGAATGATTTACATCAGTGTTGAGACTGTAAAAGAAATGATTTACATCAGTACTGTGACTGGAAAAGGAAATGATGGACATCAGTACTGAGACTGGAAAATGATTAACATCAGCACTGAGACTGGAAAATGATTGATATCAGCACTGTGGCTGGAGATAAACATCTCTGATTTCTGAATTTTACCAAGAACGGTAACACATTTCTTCTCTGACCAAGATATCGCTTGAAAAGGATAAAATAACAAACTTCCCCACGGGACTTTTCCGAAGGGATGCCATTTGCTGAGTAGACATTATTGTTGGGGATACACAAGCTGCTCAAATAAAGAGGCTGCCACTTGCTTCCTTTCAAAGGTGTCAATAACATACAAGCTGCTCATGAAGAGACTGCCACTTGCTGTCTTCAAAGAATATTAAAGCACACAAGCTGCTCATGAAGAGTCCGCCACTTGTTGCCAAAAACCCACAAGCTGCTCATAAAGAAGCTGCCACTTGCTGTCTTCAAAGAATATCAAAACACACAAGCTGCTCATGAAGAGTCTGCCACTTGTTGCCAATAACCCACAAGCTGCTCATGAAGAAGCTGCCACTTTCCGTTTTCAAGGGAACAATAACACACAAGTTGCTCGAATATATAAGCTGCCACTTGATGTCTTCCAAAAAGTACTAACGTACAAGCTGCTCATGAAGAAGCTGCCACTTGCCGTTTTCTGTACAAGCTGCTCATGAAGAGACCGCCACTTGTCGTTTTCCGTACAAGCTGCTCGTGAAGAGACCGCCACTTGCCGTTTTGAGAAGGTGTTGATAACATACAAGTTGTCCATGAAGAGACTGCCGCTTGCTGTTTTTAAAAGTGTTGATAACATACAAGTTGTCCATGAAGAGACTGCCGCTTGCTGTTTTCTCAAAGATACCCATAAAATATCATGAAGATATTGCTGGAGGTGAGAATCAATAATTTCATCGAGGATGGACAAACTGCTCATGAAGAGACCGCCATTTGTCGTAGAGAAATCAGAAATAATCAAACTGCTCAAATAAAGAGTCAGTCGCTTGTTGTCATGTCGATATTCCAGAAGAAGGTTGTGATAACACTACTGGGGAATAAAGTTCATCTTCAATGGGGAACCATGAATAAATCCTTCTTGAGGACACCAAGTATTTACGTTGCAAAATAAATTCACTCTCCATCTAGGTTTCATAGCCTAGAGATATCCATAGGGTATCATTCACAAGAGACAAAGCTCAATCCAGGAATAAACTGGAGAGAAAACAGTCAAACAAGACTCCACCCAATGAGGGAACGACTCAAATAGGGATTTATCCTATCCAGAGATGGAAAAGGAAAGCTAAAGCAAGATTCTTCCACGAGAGTTAACCCAGTGGGGAATTAGAAGAAGAGGCGCACTTTCTGCTTAAGTTGACACTCTATTTAGAAAGATCAAATACGCTATTTGAATAGACATAACCAAGGTATACGTACTCAAAGACATCAACAAATACAACTGTGCATGCATGATGCAAGTGTGAATGAATAAATGAATGTCATGTATATGCTGACAAAACAGACAGGGGAGATAGACAGAAAATGATAAGACATCACAGTACAACTCGACACTCGGCTAGTCTCAATAGGATGGTAACATTACTGGAGATAGAAAACAAAAGCCATCATTGGAGTAAAGTTCTTTTACAAGGCTTAAATCTCTTTGGAGAGGAAGATATTTTCAGGTAGAAAACCCAAAGTCTAGTCTTCTATTGCAAACAATCCATTGAAAGGATGACAACACGAACATTGTTTCGGCTGGAAAAGTCATGCTTAGCTGGAGATACTGGAAAACCACCCTCTGATAATGTGTGCAATACATATCACATATCTTGACAAATCTAGATTGCCCCTGGGACCAATTTTGGATGCCCCAAGTTTACTTCTGATGAGCTGCATGTTGCACGACAATTCTTGCGAATAGCTTCACTTCTAACATGCCCCAAGCTATCTGGTTGATGAGGAGAAATCATCTCAAGAGGATTTTACAAAAGACCTGGCATTCACCATGCTCTGGTGTCTTCAAACTCTTAGAGGAATTCATCAAATCTCGACGTGATTGCCCCGGATTGACTGTAGTTGGCACAACAAAGTCTTCAAATTTTGCCCCAAAAGAGTAAACAAGTTGGGAAAGCATTAACTGGGAGAAACAACATGTCTGTGCTTAAGGTCTTCAGGTGACATGCCCCTGCATATGATTTTTCTTGAAATGATCCGCCAATTACTCAACAGAGCTTCAGGCCTTAAAAGAATAAACTCATCACTAGTGCTTACATGTGAGCTTCCTTGATATCAAACAAATGTTTTGCAGTTAGAAAAAGTTTATTATGAGAATGAAAATTCTAATGCAACAGTTATGTAAGTCTTGAAGATTTTGAAAAGATATCGCACAAATTTCCCGAGTTAGAGCACCATTTATTTTTGTATAGGAAAAACATATGATACCAACATAACTATTTAGAACATTCATGGGAGTCAGGAGCACTATCTCATGGAAGTATGCTTTCAAAATAACCTTGCTTCAATTAGGACTTTTGAAGGTTGTAATGTGGCTTAGTTCATGGTTTTTAGAAAGAAGATTTTAAGGCTCAAAATATTTGGTGCCCACCCCCTTCATGATGTTCTCCAATCCTATGTTCAGTTAATTCAACATGAGTGTTCATCTCTCAAAAGGATTTTGTGACGGTCAAGGAAACGACGAGGCTTTCGGAGTAGAAACCACCC